TTATTATTATTATTATTATTATTATTATTGCTGTTATTTATGTATGAGTGTTTTGCTGCATACACGTATGTGTACCACTGCATGCCTAATGCACGCAGAGCTAGAAGAGGAACTGGAGTTACAGACGTGTGTGTGCCTCCACATGGGAACTAGGGATCAAGCCTTTGTCCTGGAAGACCAGCCAGTACTCTTAACTCCCTCTGTCTTTCCACAGTAAAGATGACTCGGCCTTCATGGTGAACCCACTGACAGCACAGGGCGTGGGCGTGGCGATCGTGGCTTACGACATTGCACCCAAAGGTAGCCTCTGAGGATGCTTGGGGAGGGCAGAGCCCCTGACGGATCCTGACCCAGCTTCTCCTCTACTCAGGCACACTGGACCAGATGGTGGACCAGGTGACCCGCAGCGTTGTGTTCCTACAGAGGCGGTATCCAAGCAACGGGTAGGTATCACTGCTGACACTCTTGGTGGATGCAGGGAGGCTGCATCTGTGGAGCTGGATGCAGAACCCTGATGCTGGATTACAATCCAGCTCTCTGTCTGACCCAGGGGCATCTACCTCTGCGGACACTCCGCGGGAGCTCACCTGGCTGCCATGGTGCTCCTTGCCGGTTGGACCAAGCATGGTGTCACGCCCAACCTTCAAGGTTTCTTATTGTTTGTTAAAACAGGACCTCAGGTAGCCCAGGCTGGTGTCCAATCCATACGGTTTCTGTGGGTCTGGGGCCTGGCCAGGTAGCTCTTCTCCTCTCTGGAGGGGTGGAGGGTTGAGCAGCTGGATGAAAGGCTGGTGGCGGGGGTGCTGACCTGGAGGATGGGCAGGTCCATCTTGCTGGTCCCTGGCCTGATCTCCTCACCTTCACAGGCTTTCTCCTGGTGAGTGGGATCTACGACCTGGAGCCCCTCATATATACCTCCCAGAATGCCCCTCTGCACATGACCCTGTGAGTTGTCCGCCCTTGTCTCCAGCCCCCCACCTGAGGCCTCCCTCCCCTCTGTCCTGACTCCTCCATTCTCCCTCCTCCAGGGAAGACGCTCAGAGAAACAGCCCACAGCACTGCTTGGAGGTGGCTCCAGCGAAGCCTGTGGGTCCAGCCTGTCCTGTGTTGGTTGTTGTGGGTCAGCATGACTCCCCAGAATTCCACCGACAGTCCAGGGAGTTCTATGAGGTACTGCCAATGGCTAGCTTATGGCACCTGGTTGAGGGTCATGTGATCTTGCCTTGCTCATTATTCTGCCCGTATGAACTGGACTCCGTGGTACCAGTTACTCCGGAGTGAGGACCATGAGGTCAGGGTGAGCTGTAAAGTGAGCTCAAGGCCAGCCTAAGTAACTTAGAGAGACCCTGTTTCAAAATTTAAAAGGAAAGCAAATACATTTCTTGGTGGTAACATACTTGCTAAGCATGAGCAAAGCCCTGGTAGGATCCCCAGGACTGTAATAGATAGACGTATTTTGTCTAACTGGACTCTAAGACGGTCATTCATTCATTCAACAAATGCATTCAAAAGAGCCTGCCATCCACAGGACCAAGAACCCCGCCTCCTCCCCCAGCCGCATACACCTCCCCCTCCCCCTTTCTTGTCCAGATGCTACACCGAGTAGGATGGAAGGCCTCTTTCCAGGAGCTGCCTGGCGTGGATCACTTTGACATCATAGAGAATCTAACCCAAGAGGATGATGTTCTCACCCAGGTGGGGTCACCCTTCCCCTCAGTTCAGCCCTTCTGAGGTAGAGAGTATGGGTCCCGTTGCCTTAATACATGGAGGGGCTGGCTTACCTCAGCATCCCAAAGGTTGAGGCCCCTGGCCCCTGACACAGGGGGCAAATGCGTCCTGGGCTTTCTGTAGCCCACCTTCTCCCCTCAGTGTGGAGTGATCTGCCAGGTGGGAACTACACATGGCCGTGGCCAGGGCAACAAGGGCAGAGAAAACCACTGGCCTGTGTCTAGGTGCAAAAGTGAAACCCAACTTCACAGAACAGCTGGTGCATGCAGCTAGTGTGTGTGTATGCAGGTGCTGGGACTCTGAATTCAGCCCTCAGATTTGCTTGTCATGTATTTCACCCGCTCTTGCTCCCTACTTTTACATTTTGAGACAGGATCTTTCTAAATAGCCTAGATAGACTTGTTTTTGTTGTTTTAGGTTTTTGTTGTTGTTTTTGAGACAGCCTTGACTGTCCTGACACCTACTCTGTAGACCAGGCTGGCCTCAAACTCACAGAGATCCACCTACCTCTGCCTCCTGAGTTCTGGGATTAAGGGCATGCACCACCATGGATGGCCCAGCTAGCTTTGACCTTTTTTTGGGGGGTGGGGTGGGAGTTTGAGACAGGGTTTCTTTGTGACTTTGGAGCCTATCCTGGCACTCGCTCTGTAGACCAGGCTGGCCTCGTACTCACAGCGATCCCCCTGCCTCTGCCTCCCGAGTGCTGGGATTAAAAGCGTGCGCCACCAACGCCCAGCTAGCTTTGACCTTTTTAATTTACTTATTCATCTTGTTTTGTCTATTTATTTTGAGACAGGATCTGAATATGTAGCCTGGCTGGCCTGAAACTCAGCGATCCACCTGCCTCTGTCTCCTGAGTGTTGGGATCAAAGGTATGCACCACCACCCCCAGCACCCACAGATGCTTTTCAGTCAGGTAGCCATCCAGCCTGGGATCTCCCATTGTCTCTTCTCTTTTTTAAATAATTTATTAAATTTTATTTTATGTGCATTGGTATGGGTGTCAGATCCCCTGGAACTGGAGTTACAGTTTTGAGCTGCCATGTGGTTGCTGGGAATTGAACCCAGATTCTCTGGAAGAGCAGCCAGTGCTCGTAACCGCTGAGCCCTCTCTCTAGCCCCCCCATCTTCTCTTCTTACTGCAGACCATTTTGAAAACAATCTTCCCTGATGCTCTAAGGACACCTGGTCTCCAGCCTGTGTGCACCTCAGAAAACCTCCAGAAGATGAGACTTCCACCTAACACTGGCCTGTCTGTCTGTCCATGAGGTGCACTCTCCCTGTTGTGGACACACCCTGCCTGTCATTCTCCCCAACGGGATGGAGCTCCAGGGGAACCCTACAGATTGGCACTGGGACATGCACATAGCTACCAGCTGGCTGAGTCTGTTTCCCCTCCTGCTGATGGGGCTTGACAGTCAGCGCCTGGCTTGCTTCCTATGCCTTTTTCAGTATCACTGTGGACTGGCTGGGGCTGGGACTGTCACTCAGCCCCTATCTCCCTCTACAAAAGAGGGTGGGGTCGGGAGAAGGAATGAAGACATAAGAGATCAACCAGCCACTGGGTTGCGTGTAGCTCAGTGGTAGAATGATTGACCATGCATAGGACTCTGGGTTCAATCCCTGGTATTAACAAAGAAAAGATAAAGGAAAAGAGAGAGAGAAAGAGAGATGATAAAGGAAAAGAGAGAGAGAAAGAGAGATGGGCATGCCCGGTGTGGTGGTGCACACCTGAATCCCAGCACGGAAGCTTGCTTGTGAGTTCAAGGCCAGCCTGAGCTACATAGGGAGACCCTGTCTCAAAGAAAGAGGGCTGGTGAGATGGCTCAGCAGGTCAGAGCACTTGGCACCAAGTCTGACAACCTGTGTTTGGTCCTGGGAACTCATATGGAAGGAAACAACCAACTGCCCCAATTTATCCTTTGACTGTCATGTATATGTGGACCTTAGCATACACACCTACACATGCGTGATGGTGGTGATGGTAATAAAAGCCCATGCTTGTGCCTGCTGTACAAACGAACACAAGGAGTTACTTAGAACTGCAGCCTCCCACAGAGACCACCAGCACAAAGACCCCTGTGTGACAGGCTCCGCCAGACCTAACTCCTGCAGCACCCCCCCCCACACACACACCATAGCCTCTAAAGCCCAAATTGGGTGTGGTGGGGCATGCCAGGAGCCATAGAGGCAGGAGGGCCTTTGGGCCCAGGAAGGGCTCTTGAGCACACATCTAATTTATACTCTGGTTCTGTCTGTCTGGTTTGATTGTCTGTTGCTGTGATAAACACCATGACCAAAAGCTACTTGGGAAGGAAAGGGTTAATTTCCTCTTCCAGTTTGCAGTCTATCATTGCTGGAAGCCAAGGCAGGCACTTGAAGCAGAAGTGAGCAGAGGCGGGCTTACTGTCCTGCTCCCAGACTCATGTTCAGCTGCCTTCCCTTACAGTCCAGACGCACCTAGGAATGGCAGCGCCCACGGTGGTCTGGACCTCTTATATGAATTAGCAGTTAAGACAGAATCCCACAGACATGGCAATGGGCCGCTCTGATGGAGGCAATTCCTCAACTGAGTTTCTCTCCCCAGGTGTGTGTCTAGGTTTTCGTGAGGTTGACAGTTGATGCTAATTATGGCATCTGGCATCCTGATCGTGATAAGAAATGGCAAACCCACACTTCTGTGGTACCCCCCTTTTCACCCTTTTCTGCCAAATGGGAGGCTCATTAGAGTGGGGCGTCTGTATGCTCTTGTTCTCGTGTGTGAGCCAGTTCCCATTCTGGGCAGACAAGCTAAGCCTCGGTTGGGAACCATGCCACCAGCTGCCCCCTCTATTTTGTCTGTCCTTGTCAGGCATCATGCTATCACATGACTTTGTGAGGTGATATGAACAGTATCTCCTCACCCCAGAAAGGGCACCAACAACAGACCAAAGAGGATTCCACCAAGTCGAGCGACCCAGTGAGTTTATTGGGTTACTGACAGGAGCGTAGTTGACTCTAGGGCAGCCATGTCCCTGAAAAGCCCTTGAAGCATGGGTGGCAACTCTCTGAACTTCATTCCTGGGGCCACTGCATATGGTTAGGTCCGGTCTCAGTTTCTTTACGGCTTCTATAAGCTTGGAGCTAGTCCCTGTAGCTCCTGTGTGTTCTTTTGGGGCCCACAAACCTTTCCCCACTCCCACACACAGTTTTTTGGGGTTTTTTTTTTTTTTTTTTTTTTTTTTTTTTTTGGGGAGGCTGTCCTGGAACTACCTCTTATAGCCCGGGCTGGTCTCGAACTCACAGAGATCCACCTGCCTCTGCCTCCAGAGCCCACACACATCTTAAAGCCAAACATGGTAGAGCATGCCTGTAATCCCACCACTGGGGAGACTGAGGCAAAATGAGCACTGTCAGTCTGAAGCCGGCCTGGGATACACAGTGAACTGCCAAGCATGGATGCTGGGATGGAACTCATCCCCTAGAAGAGCACGAATCGCTCTTAACTGTTGAGTCATCTCTCCAGCCACCATGCCTGGCTTTCTGAGCAACTTTATGGGTAGGTGGGGTTAAGCCAGGATGCTGGGAAGGTCAGATCTATTAAATGCATTTTTCACATAATTTCAGTTCACAGGGAGTTTGTTGGAACAGAGCCCCATCCTAAGTCACTGAGCACCCGAACGTCTGAGTGACAACTGCCATGAGGCCAATGGCAGATCTACACTTACCACATAGAAAATCAAGATATGCAGGGGTGGTGGTGCACGCCTTTAATCCCAGCCCTTGGGAGGCAGAGACAGGTGGGTTCCTGTGAGTTTGATGCCAACCTAGACTACAGATGGAGTTCCAGGACAGCCAGGCTACACAACAACAACAAAAGTAAATATACATTCTTAGTGACAGAAAGTGAGATGCTCAACCAGTCTCACAATGTCACACATGAGGCCACAAAAATCCATGGGCTTCTGCTTTATTTGTGGCTTTGAGACAGTTTCACTCTGTAGCCCTGGCTGGCCTGGGACTCAGGTGGACCAGCTTGCTTCTGTCTTCCTGGGACTAACAGAGTGCACTGCCTCCATGCATTTCTATATGGACACAGAGCAATGACTAGCAAGGGAAAAGTCTAGAAAGAGCCACACGGAAGGTGTCAGTGCTCTGGGGAGGGCGTGGTGCCAGGAAGACACAGGGGGCGTCTGCTTTGTCTGGGTTCTTTGACTTTACAGTAAGAGCTGAAAGGGGACTGAGGACTTTAGTGTAGTCTGAATTAGGAAAATTAAAATTCTCAGAAACCTTTTTGGATGCTGGGAGACTGGAATGTCATGGCTGTGACCAGAATCCACTCTGGAGTTGCAAAGGAAGGTGACTCACAAGCCACAGGCCCTCCCTGAATGTCTGGAACACATTTCTGGGTATTGCTCACCTGGGTTGGGAGTTGCTCCTAGGCTGTACCCTAGGACGGGCAAGAGAAAAAGCAAATGGGTACATAAACACTTACACAAGTATACCACATGCTACATGTGAAAACACAGGTAGAGAGAAAAGGGCTGGGAACGTGTTTGCCAGCAATCCCGGCAGACAGGCAGAGGCAGGAAGAGTGTAGTCAGTTCAACACAACCAGCTTGGGCTGGTCAGGGCTCCCTAGCAAAACTCAAAAAGCCCACGAAAGGGCTGGCTAGACAGCTCAGCAGGTCAAGGCACTTGCTCAACAAGCCTGACCATTTGAGCCCTATCCCCGATCCCAAGGCGGAAGGAGAGAACCAACTCTCAAAAATTGTCCTCTGACTTCCACAGGGTGCCCTGGCTCTTCATGTGCACTTGGGGGTGTTGGGGGGTTTTGGTGTTGTCTGAAAGCTTTGGGTTTTTTAGGGGTGAGGCCCTACTGAACTGCTCTCTGACTCTGCCTGGGAAGCCAGGGCCTGCCTTGGGTCTCTCTGATTGCCTAGCACCCAGTAGCTGCTCGTAGATTAATTTCAGGATCTGATTTCACCTGGACTCAGGAACCTTCCAGATTTTCCCCAGTAGCTCTGAGTCTCCACACACCTGTGAGATAACCTGGCTAGAGCAGGCACAGGCAAGTCAACAGAGAGCTGTGGGGACAGGTCTATCCCATGAGCGACTTTGACCAAGCCGGGACGCTTGAAGCTGGTTACTGAGTAATCAGGGTGGGGTGGGGATGCCTAATCAGACCTTGACATCACAAACCTTTTCTCAGGTCTTTCACGGACACATTTTCCAGAGAGGTCAAGACTTCAACAGCAAACAAAAAAAGCCAAATAGGCTGGGGTGGGGGGTGGGGTGGAAGTGGTGGTGGTGGTGGGCGTGGCCCACACCTTTAATCCCAGCACTCTCACTCAGGAGTCAGGGGCAGGTGGATCTCTGAGTTTCAGGCCAGCCTGGTCTACAGAATGAGTTCCAGGACAGCCAGGTGTACACAGAGAAACCCTGTCTTGAAAAACCAAACCAAACCAAAAACCATCTTGGAATAGGGCTGGAGCCATGGCTCAGTGGTCAAGAGCACTGGCTGCTCTTGCATTGGTGTTGGTTCAGTTCCCAGCACCTACATGCAGCTCACAACTGTCTAATAACTCTTGTTCCAGGGGGAACTGACACCCTCTTCTGGCCCCTGTGGGCACTGCATATATACATGTAAGCAAAAACACCTATACACATAAAAATAGATCTAAAAAAAAGGGTGAAGGACAGGTGTTGGTGGCACATGCCTTTAATCCCAGCACTCCGGAGGCAGAGGCAAGTAGATCTCTGAGTTCAAGGCCAGCCTGGTCTACAGAGTGAGAACAGCCAGAGCTGTAACACAGAGCAACCCTGTCTCAAAACAGAACAAAAAACCCCATTAAAACAAACAAAAACACACCACTACAACAACAAAAAACAAAACTAAACCAAAGCAAAACTCTCTCACAGAGAAGAAAAGCGTGATCAGAGAAAAAATACGCATGGGCTTTGGTGGTTAAGAGCACTTGCTGCTTTTCCAGAGAACACTGCTTGAGTTCCTGGCACACACAACTCACCACCATTGTAGCCTGCCTCAGGGAATCTCAATACTTCTGGCCTCCACAGGCAACAGGCACCCAGGTGGTTACACTTTCATACATGCAGGCAAAGTACTCATACACATATATCTTGTAACAAAAGAGAACAATGCAGGAGCTCGTGAGCCATCGTCTCTCTTTTTTTTTTTTTCAGAAACTTATTTTGTAAATTACATTTTCCCGTGCCTTTCTACAGAAAGGTGGGCACACATATACAGGGAGGACAACTTTTTTGTGCAGATTGTTGTTTATTTACTTATTTTGTGAGAGTCTCACTATGTAGCTCTGGCTGGCCCGGAATTCAGTACATAGACGAGTCTGGCCTCACCGGCATGTCCCCATCACACCTTCATGTCTTTTTTAGATTTATTTATTTGTTATGTACATGGTGTTCTGCCTGCATGTCTGCCTGCAGGCCAGCAGAGGGCACCAGATCTCATTACAGATGGTGTGAGCCACCATGTAGTTGCTGGGAATTGAACTTAGGACCTCTAGAAGAGCAGCCAGTGCTCTTAACATCTGAGCCATCATCTCTCCAGCCCAAATAAACCCATTTCTATTCATCTACGTGACTCATGGCTTTTACCTCTCCTCTTGTATGTCTTGCTCCCTCTGCATCCAGCTGGCAACTCAGCCTTTCTTCTTCCCAGCGTTCTCTCTGTCCAGAAGCCCTGGCTATACCTCCTGCCTAGCTATTGGCCATCTAGCTTTTTATTATACCAATCACAGTGACATCTCTTTACACAGTGTAATCAAATATCTCACAACAGAAACCCTGTCTTCAAAAACAATCCACAGCCCAAGTTGGGTGGCATATACTTTGGGAAGGACAGAGCTCTGTCCTTGCTACAAAACCTTTTACCCTGAAACCCTTTACCCTTTTCCCACACCTGCTGGGCCCCGGAGGTGTTAAGATCTCAGCCAAAGATGGAGAGAGTCAGGACCAAGGATCCAGCACTTAGGGGTCTGAAGCAGAAAAAAAAAAGCCATAAAACAAAGAACCTATCCGGTCTTAGTCAGGGCTACTATTACTTTTTGTTTTTAAAGATTTTATTTATTTATTATGTATACAACATTCTGCTTCCATGTATATTTGCACAGCAGAAGAGGGCACCAGATCTCATAACGGATGGTTGTGAGCCACCATGTGGTTGCTGGGAATTGAACTCAGGACCTCTGGAAGAACAGTCAGTGCTCTTAACCTCTGAGCCATTCTTCAGCCCCAGGGCTACTATTACTATGATGAAAACTGCATAGTCTGTCCCTAAAGGAAGTCAGCACAGGAACTCAAGCAGGGCCGGAACCTGGAGGCAGGAGCTGCTGCAGAGGCCGTGGAGAAGTGCTGCTTACTGGCTTGCTCCCCATGGCTTGCTCAGCCTGCTTTCTTATAGAATTCAGCATCAGCAGGCCGGGGATGGCACCACCCACAATGGGCTGACCCCGCCCACATAAAATCACTAATTAAGAAAATGCTCTACAGGCCTGCCTACAGCCCGATGTGGGGGCATTTTCTCAATCAGGGTTCCCTCCTGTCAGATAACTCTAACCTGTGTCACGTTAACATAAAATTAGCCAGCTCAGTTGCTGTGTTGGGGAATCAAAAGACAAAAACCCCTACTGTAACTACCCTTGGGCAGGAGAGGAATCTTAGCTGTCCCGTGCAGGGCTGGCTCAAGACAACTTAAGCTTGGAGTTACGGTACAGACAACTGTGGCTATTTCAAATGTTTTCAAGTGTACTGATACACAGCAGGGCCTGAGGCCTTTAAAAAATAAATGAAAACGAGGACATGAAGTCTCCAAAGGCACGGTTGAGGACAAAGGTTTCCTTGTAGATGTGAGGGGGACAGCCAGAGACATCTGAAGAGTCCAGGTTGAGCCTGGCCATGGACAGAAAGAGAGAGAGCGGGCGAGAGAGGAGAGAGGGGAAGGGCACCAAGAGAGGAACAGAGGGCGCTGGACCAGGAGAGCGCGGGGTTGAAAAGGCAGGACTGTAGAGACGAGAGAGGCGAGGGGAAGGGAGGGAAGCGAAGCTCCCTGGGTGAGAAGTGCTGGCTGGACCCACAGGTGGTTCCTGTCCCGGGTATCTCTGGGACCTGACAAAACCGGCTCTCGTCGCAGCTGCCTGGCGGTTCGCCTGGGGCCCCGCGCTTGCTCCCAGTGTGAGGTGATGCGGCCCCACCCTGGGCTCGCTGCGGTGGTGCTCGGGCGCTTCTCTCGAGTGTGAGCCAAGCCACGGTCTCAGACAAGAATCTCATGACCCCTCTCAGACACTCCAGAGCCTGGAACTCGCCATCCTCCTGCCCCAGCCTCTGGGTGCGGCTGGGGTTGCAAGAGACACACACAGCACCGCGTACGGCGGCGGCCGCAGACGGCGCCTCCAACCCGGGGAGTCCGCGGGGAGCACGGCGGCTGCAGGGGGAGGAGGGCGGCCT